CTCGGCCTCTGCTGCCTGCTGCCCGCCGGGCGGCTAGCCGCGCCGGGAGGGGACTTCCCCGGGGCTGCCGCGGACAGCCTGGTGGTGCGGAAGGGGGACACGGCCGTGCTCAGGTAGGAGCGGGCGGGGGGTCGGGGCTTCGTGCCGGGGGGTGCTGAGCGCGGGCCGTCCCGAGCCGCCCCGGAGCCGCCGCTGCGTTCCGTCCTCGCGTCGTTGTGCCGCCCGGCGCCGCTCAGCCCTGCTCCGCTCCGCGGCCGCTGCAGAGTTCCCGCTCTGCCCGAGTCCCCGTGCGAATGCCGGCGTCGCCCTGCCCTCGTTGCTTTCCCGTTCTAACTCTCTGCCTGTACTTTTGTCGCCGTTCCGTCGCCGCGCGCGGTTTCTCGTTAATCTCGGCGCGATCGCCGTGCCGCTGTGCGGAGCTGGCCGAGCCGCGCTCCGCCCGCGTGTCCCTCGGCCAGCCGGGCTGCGGAGCCTTTGAACGGCTCTAAACCCGCTGCACCGGGCCGCGGGGCATCTCCTACGGAATTCGGGATCGCTGTCCTGTCTGCCGTTGCTGCAGCGGCTCCCGAAAATCCAGCCGCTGTCCGCGTAGGGCTGCGGGCAGCGCTCTGCACGCGTGCCCCGCTCGCGCTCCGTGCCCGAGCCGAGAGCTGGCCGTGTCTGCGCGCAGTGCGGGGAACGAAGGCAGCGCGGAGCTGCGGGCGCTGCGCGCTCAGCCGGCGCTCGATGCTGTTAGCGCGCATTGAATCGCCTTGAGAAGCACCTCGGTGCCGAATCGACCGGTGCTCTAAAGGTTCTCTGCCGGAGCTTGTCAGCCGGAATCGGTGCGGAATTCTAGGCCTGCGTTTGTTGGAAACACAGTGTTTGTGCAGCTGGGTGGATTACATAAATGGGATCGGGCTCTGGGGATCGGAACATCGCTGCTGTCTCATGGGCTAACGTCTGCTCGGTAGCGAGCTGCTGCTGAACGGAGCGCAGTCACTGCTCGACTCCGGAACAAAGCAGTTAGATGGGAAACAGCGTGGTGTTGTGTCTGTGGGTTCTCATCCTCCTTGCACTAAGATTAATTTCTTTCATTTCCTGTGCTTTCCGTGGGCTTGCTCTCAAGTAGGAGTTTGGTTTGTTTTCAGCTGCTAACGCAGCTTGAAAGCCACTTGTTTTCAGGTGTATCACTAGAACAGATCGCTACGCTGTAAATTGCTGAGAGTACAGGGCAGCAAGCGTGAATCGCTCCAGGGAAGTGCTTTCCGAAGAGCATACAGGAGATGTGTGGGGTTGGGCAGGGCTGTGTGCCTGGAATCTCTGGGTGCACGCCGTTGTGCTCCTCAGAACTGTTCCTCATTGCACATCTGTACCATGGATGTGTATGAGAAGCAGTGCTGCTGGTTCCCAGAGCGCTGGACGCTGGCAGCTGATGTAGGTGCAGGCTTGGTGCAAGGCAAAGCAGTGCAGGGGCTGAAAGAAGAGCGTTTCCTTGCAGCACCCAGCCCAGCTCTTCTTGGTTTCTCCAGCTGGGGGATGGCAGTGCCCCATCCTACCGGCACAGCTGGGTTCCCAGCACCGGGCTGCTTTGCTCCCTTCCTCCCCATGCTGTGGGAATGAGGGCTGCAGGGAGGCACCTCTGGCCCACACACAGGCAGCTCTGCACTGAGAGTGTCTGCCGATTGTTTTTTAATAATTAATGATGGAATATGGGAGTCCTTCACTTGGCTTGGAGTCGGCGCTTTCCTGGTTGAGGGAAGGTGGCAGTGGTTTATGGGATGCCTGTTTGGCCCCGATGGGCTGTGGATGAGCAGTGACAGCCTGTGGGACGGAGGGGCTGCTGCTCCTGTGGGTCAGAGCACAGAGGGAAGCACGCAGAGTGTGGCAGGAGTGCTGTGAGAGGCTGAGGGGAGCACCTCTGCTCCAGCCCTCGTCCCTGTGTTCACTTTCCATCATCTTTACCAGAAGTGAGGGATGAAACATCCTTCAAGTGCTGAGGCTTTCAGATAGAAGCCTCCAAGTGCTAACGTGAGGTAAAGCAAGTTGTGTGGATCCTTGATTGATCTGTGCTGTCCCACTGCTGTTTGTTTCACTGCTGATTGAGGTCTTAAGGAATTCTGGCTGTGATGCAGCTGTTTGGTACAACAAACTAATTTGAGGAAGCCACTTGTTTTCAGGTGTATCACTAGAAGAACAGATCGCTACACTGTAAATTGCTGAGAGTACAGGGCAGCAATCTGTGTTCTCTGACCCGTCTTTCTTTTCTGTTAAACACCTCCCTGTGCAGGGAGGGATGCAGCCCTGGGTGTGCAGTGACCCTATGACACTGACAGCACTGTTGGTGCTTCAGGAAGAGGTGACCAGCCCAGAGGAGCTGGGTGAGGCCCCATCCCCTCCATAATTTGTAAACAAAAGTTGCTTGAAGTATCTGAAATGCAGAGCTGAAAATGATCAAAATGGTTTTCTCAAGCAAACAGCTTTTTTTCCTGCATTTTGCTTTTTTTACAGCTCACAAACGATTAAAGCAGATTTACCTGAGAGCCCTTTCGTAGTGTGCAATCACAGAAAATTAAGCTTTAGAACTTGACATCTTTTAAAAACAAAAGATACGTTGCTGCTGTCTGAGCATAGAATAATTTATTAAATATGTACTCTAGGATACTTGAAATGATGCAGCTTTTTCCCTGTAAGTGTTTAAGTCCCAACGCTCCTTAGTGGGATGGATGTTCCCAAAGCATTGGATGAGAAGCTGGGTGCTGGAGGCTGGCAGAGCCTCCTGCAGCCCCACGAGGAGAGATGCAGAGCCCCACGCCCAGGAGGAGCAGCCCAGCACCAGGACATGATGGAGGCACCCAGCTGGGAAATGGCTTCCAGAAGAGCAACCAGGAGTCCAGGTGTACCAGCAGTGCCAGCAGGTCTGAGGTGATCCTGCCCTCTGCTCAGCACCTGGAGCACTGGGCCAAGTGCTGGGCCCCCAGTGCAAGAGAGACCTGGAGCTGCAGAGAGCCTCAGAGATGCTGCAGGGCCTGGGGGAGGAAGAGGGGCTGAGAACTGGAGCTGCTCAGCCTGGGGCAGGGGTGGTTCAGGAGGATCCCACCCACAGCCATCAGTTCCTGCAGGGAGGTGTAAGGAGATGGAGCCAGGCTCTGCTCAGCGGATGGGCGAGAAGCACTGGGCACAAACTGGGCCCAGGAGGTTCCCCTGAATGCCAGCGCTGAGCACAGGGTCAGATGTTGGCAAGGGATCTGGGGAGGTTGTGGGGTGTCCTCTGTGAGCCTGGGTGATGCTGGGCTCAAGATGCTGGAGGCCCTGCTGGAGCATGGGGAAAGGTGGGCACAGGGGTCCTTGCCGACCTCATCCTTCTTGTTCTTTGAATGCTGTGTAGGAGCGTGCTATGCAGGCAGTGTAATGAGTTGACAAACATGCACAGAGTTTCACTGTGTCTTACAGCAGCAAGCAGAGGCAGAAGTGTCCCCACTCTGATATTGATGAGTGTAGCTGTAATTCTGCAGAAGAGGCCCACTGAGCAAGATCCTCGGGGAGCCGCAAAGGTCGTCATGCAGCCAACAGACCTTGCAGGCAGCCTGTTTGGTGTGGGGAGGCAGGAGCAGTGCTTCTCACTCCCGGCTCCTCCATGTGTTGTGGTTTCTCCATTTTCTCTACAACTGGTCTCTTGTTGGCATTAAGAGCACAGATGTGTAGCAGGCAGCCCATCTGAAACACTGCCCATCTCTTTCAGTGGCTCCTTCCCAACATGTTCTAAAAGAGATCCCTTTGGGGTACAAAAGAGAGCTCTTCACATTAGGTGGTGCCTAAGGTACCTGAAAGCTGATGTGACCAAATATTTGGAGTGAATCCTGTTTTCTTATGGTTCAGGTCAGAGATTCAGCTTTGTTTTCCTATATTTTGCTGATGTTTTTCTCTTGGACGTACAGTGCCTTTGGTGAAGAGTGAGTTCCCTGGGTGCAGGGTATTCTCTGACAAATCAGTGAGAAATTATACATGGGCAGAAGTGTGGAAATGCGTATGAAGAAGTCATCAAAGAAAATGAAATAAATTCTAGCAAAGAAAATGAATTCATGTAAGTCCCTCCCAAGCTTGCGTCCAGATGTGAAGTGTCACAGCGTTTTACAGCATCAGCTTTACAAAACAAGGGGTTTGCAATTTTCTGTCCTGTAAAATACGCTTTGAGGCGTGTTAATGGCTGTCAGGCTCACTGATTTCTTTATCGCCATTTGACTGGTGCAGGCAGTTGCTAGCAGAACACGTGCTCTGTGTTTTCTGCTCTCCTGCTTGCCCTCTGGATGCGCCTCATGGCAGTGTCTGACCCGCTCTGAAGTCACTCTGGCATAGGGATGGATTCTGCCCTGGCCAAGGAAAGTTGGCAGCAGCAGCGTCTCAGCCCATGCCTCCAGTTCCTCTGGTTTCCCACACATCCTGGTTTTTAGACCCCATATCTAAGTGGCTGGGCTGGGGCTGGTGACTTCTGGGCCCTGGGGCTTCATGGCACTTCTCTTCTGACAAGAGCTGCCCTTTACAGCAAATGGTCTTTGCAAAAGAGCCACAGTGGTCATGGAAAGCTAGCAACAAGTCTATAAAGTGTAATTCATCTGCCATCACTCAGACTCCTGAGAAATGGGCGTTTGGAATGCTGGGTCTGCAATTGAGCAGCAGGAGCATATAAAGGGTATATGGTGTGTTTAAATATTAAGAGACTACATATTTTAACACTATAGTCCCTCAAATTCACATCCACACACCAATGTTGAATACGGTTGTCTGCATGCATGTAGAAGTTCAGATTTAAGAGGGCAGGTAATGCAATAAATATGAAAGATTTCCTCTCTCCTTTATGATTTCAGATGGTCTGTTTCTGACTTCCGTGCTCTTTTGGTATTCTTGTGCATCTCAGGATCATGAATTATTTGGCCGTGTGAAGCTTTGTTCCATCTCTCTGAAATATAGCTGTGTTATGTGCAGATCCACAGGCACACACAAACATCCCTCTAAAAGGAGGCTGTTCTTTGGGGAGGCTCTCACGTTCTACAGCCCTACCCGTTATTAAACAAGCATGTGTTGGCACTTGCCTCTTGTCTGTGCAGTTAAAATAAATGCATTCAGAGTCAATTGA